ACCCTGTTTTGGTAACAAACAAACAAAAAACCTCCACAAAAACAAAACAAAAAACCTTAAGATTATTGGACCTCCAAGTTATAGGTGATGAGGTACCTGTAAATTCACATTTTGTGAACAGGAAACCTTTTATCATAGAAGTGATCCCCGGAGGTGGAATCAACTGAGGGAAGAGGCATAAGATGGTAACTTCTTAGGGACAGACAGGAAGGGATAAATGTCCAAGAGAATTTCAAAGGAAGAACTGACAGATGTGACAATATCTGTGTGTTGAAGATCGTGAATATGGAACTTTTGATCTAGGAACTTACTTAAGGCGTTTCTTGCTCAGGGGAAAGCACGACAGAGAAACCCTGTCCTGAGTTGCTCCTGCCTTCCTGACTGCACACACAGAGGTGTGAGGTCAGCATGCTGGCTCCTTTCCTGGGAGGTGAGCACACCTCTGAGTCACAGAAACTGCCATTTGTTGGCCCATCTGCTCCCGCGGTTGAAGTCATTCTTAACTGATACAGACAGCTTGGAGGAGTGCAAGATCCTGCGTGGTCTTTGAGCTGTGTGGGTCAGCAGTAAAGAGCACATTCAGGCCATCAAGGGCTCCAGAGCCAGCTCGAGTCCCATGTGCTGAGACTTGGCAAACGCACTCAAGTACAACTCGCGCAAACATTCCATGACTTTTGAGACATTCATCCTTTTCCTTTGTCCTGGAGTCCTAATGTTTTTAGCTTGTGATAGTCGCGCCTGCCCCTGGCCTAGTGGCTCTCTTACTCTGCTGCGTCTCAAAGCAGTGGCCAGCTGACCTCTGGCACACAGCTTGCACTCGGCCACCCTGACGTTTGTCCAGGGACAAGAGCGTTTCATCTTCCACAGCTTGTCAGTCACGCTCAAATCCCAGTTTGCGCGGTGGACCTGAGTTATCTGGCTGACTCTTCCCTTCTTCCGTAGTACACCCCTGCCTTTCTCTCCCCATGCCATACAGCTGTGGGGGTGCTAATCATACTCCACCCAACCTCTGCCAAAGCAATTGGTCCCAGAAAAGGTATATACCAGGGTGGGGGGTGGGGTGGGGGAGGCTGCTTGTGGCAGGAATTGCTTTCAGGGAGGCCCTTTACCTGGTCTACAGTCAGTACTGGAAGAATGAGGTTAGAGCTGCCTGCAGTTCAGTAGGTGAAAATGTAGTCAGACAAGATCAACAGAGTGAAGGAGAGAAAGAATACAAACTTTGAGACTCTTGGTTCATTCCTGCCCCAGGCTATTTCCTATCCCCCATGCTTTCCAGTGACAGGACTCAGTGTTAGGTTTCTATAATTCATCATTGAAAAGTGCCCTCATAGTTGATGTTTTGCGTCAAATTATTTTCTACAGGATCTACTATCTGAAGGAGCAGGTGTTAAGAGAAAATAACAGGAGGGTGGGAATCACCATTCTCCTGGACTGGCAGAAGTATAAATCGGTGTAACTTGGGGGTATGATAATTTGGCAGTATCTCGTTAAGGCCTGAATGCTTCTGCTCTTTGAGCCTGTAATTCTACTCAGTGTAGCTCTGTTTCTTATGGTAATAAGTTGGCAATAACCTAACATATTTTGCATCATCAGTAGGAGATTGGTTGAATAAATTACAAATACATGGGGAAAATGTGTATGAGACAATGTAAAGCATTTGTTTACTGATTTGGATTCAGTGTGCAAAGACATGGGGCTAGTTAGGGCTGATTTCCTGGGGAGATGATGGTAATTATGGAGAACATTCACCCTCTGTATTTGTATGAACCTGGAATACTTTTCTTTTTTAAGATTTACTTATTGCATACAGAACTGGGGTAAAGACCAGAGGTGCAGGGGCGGTGAGAGGCTTCACCAGAGACAGAGTGAGGAGCAGAACAGGCAGACTGACGAAATACACCGCTGAGGGGAGCAGTGGGCAAGACAGGAGAGATAGGAGAGATCTGCTGCGCCATGTGGGTCAGCTCCAGGGCAGGGAGAACTTGCACGGAAGCAGCCATGGCCAGCTTTGCAGTGTTGCACTTTAACCCATTGCGCCATCAGGGAGGGCCCTAACTTGAATTTCTATTGCTGCTGCTGAAAGATAGCAAGGTAGGGTCCTCCCTGGTGGCACAGAGGGTTAGGGCGCAGAACTGCAAGCCAGTTGCAGCGGCTTCAGTACAAGTTTGATCACCGCCCCAGAGGTGACCCACATGGCGCAGCAGACCTCTTCTGTCTCATCTGCTGCTCCCCTCAACAGTGTACTTCATCGATCTGCCTGTTCTGCTCCCCACTCTGTCTCTGGTGAATCCTCACACTGCCCCTGCAACTTTGGCCTGTACCCCAGTTCTGTATGCATAAATAAATCTTAAAAAAAGATAGCAAGGTAATAACCTTCTTTCACTATTGTGAGCATTAGCATTCTGAGTTCAGGGGTCTCTGGCCTAGATGGGGTACATTCTTTAATATGTTCATTTATTTGATCAAAAAGAGAGTGACTTTCAACTAATTAAGCACTTTTCTTGGAGCTGGGTGTGTAATAAAATAGCCATCATTTTCATGGGATTTTATGATTATTTGTGGAAACAAATACAGGAATGTCATTAAGTCTTATGGAGAAGCATCAGGGAAGAGCTGGGGCAGACAGAGAGGAAATATTTTATGTATAAGGTGGTCTGAAAGCCTCATGGAGAAGGCACCATCAGGACCTTAAAGGGAGTCAGAAAGCCACACAGATCTTGCGGGAAGTGTTTTCTGGGCACATGTCGGAGGCTCCACTGTCTGCTCAGTGGGAGCAAAGACAACGTGGCTGCACAGAACATGGTGCTATGATATGAAGGTGGGGCACAGATCTAGGCAGGAGGGTGGAGCTGGGGTTTCCTGTTCTGGGACCACCCTCAGCAATGTGGGCAGCTGGTTCAACCCTATCCTGAGATGGGGGTGGAGATGGGCGCTGATGACCCAGCACCACAGCCCTGTCACACTTGGGCTGGGAGGAGGAAAAAGGACAGACTTCATTTTCTACCACCACGAAAGAGAAGGCTCAGCCAGATTTGATTTTATTTAGAAAAACTAAGTGCTCCTAAGTTTACTGGAGTGAATTAAGACCCACTGTACATAATATTTCAGCTAGGTTTTTTTTTTTTTTGAAGACATGCATTATTTTTATCAGAATAAAAACATTTCAGAAAGAATGATGAAATGGCCAAATGTATCAGCTAATTCACAGAGGGCCATGGGAGCTAGTGCACTGAGAAAAGAGAAATTTAAGAGACATCTTCCAGGAATACAGTAAAAGTCAGATGGTCAGTGATCACAATTGGAAAAGGGAGAGCACGAGAAATCAAAACAGTGAATAAAAGCTTCAGCTGAGAAGCTTGGGAAAGAAAGGAAGAACCAAAGAACAAGAAAGACAGACATGCCACGCAGTTCTGAATAAAGTTTATTAAATAATATGTACAGCAAATGTATGTCTTGAATTAACACATCTATTTATCAAATCAATCCACTGCAATAAAGAAAAATAAATGACTGAAAAATCTGTCTGCACAGTACATGCCTTGATGTGTCATTTAAATGGCAATACTTTAAATTAATTGGTTAAATATATCAGTTATTTTTCTTCCAGAATAGAATCTTTTTTTTTTTTTGTAGCAATCTGTTCTAGCAATAGTCTTTAACATCACTGCAGATAAACAGGACTGCAAAAATAAAACAAAACCAAAACCAAAACCTTGTAACTGAAATAGACTTTACCTCCTCTCCAAGAAAGAATGATTATTTCAAACTGGAACACTTTACAATGGTTATTTTTGTGCTAAAATTCTGCAGGTGAGTCATTTGGAATTCCTTCACTTAAATAAAATGCAAAAAACTTCATGACCTCCTTATTTTACCCCCTTCAGTTCAATTTTTTTTAAAATTACTTTTCTATACAAAGTAGGTACATGGGCTGTACAAAATATACATATTTACAGTCCCACTTCTGAAGCATTTTTTTTCTTTTACTGATCCCAGAGAGACTGCAAAAGGTAGGAGTTTCAGGCTTGCCTTTACCCAGAAGCATGGCTAATATATCAAAATGTGTCGCAAGGCATGCCGCCAGTAGTTGTACTTGCTATTAATAAACTTGTATAAACATTTCAGCATAAAAATAGGTATTTTATATTACTAAATGTCTGAAGACAAAAGAATAATTGGAAACCTTTGTTCATTGTTTTGTCATGTAGAGGAAGCTGGAGTTTGATGTAAATTTTAACATGATTCTCTTAAAGACGGGCATATTGGTGAGGCCTATCTAGGTTTCTGGATACACAGACGTGTGAGGCCGGTATCAGATGCAAATGTAGCTTTACAAATTGGTTTTCTTTTCTAGCTGTATTTAAAGAGGTGTTCCAAATGACCTAATCAAGAAGCACCCCCCAAAAAAAACCTATTAGTAAGATCATGTGATTTAATGGTTTGCATTTAAGAAATACCAGAAATCACATTAGCCAATACAAGAATCACATTCCAAATGGGTGAAATGCTGCAAAATGCATGTGCACTTGCACTACAGTCCTCCAGAGACTGAGCTCCAAGCCCCTCCCCCCACCAAAAAAAACAAAAACCAGTGTCCCTGGTTGGTGCAGTGGTTTTTCCAAAGCAATGAGTCTTGTTTAAGGAATATCAAGGCCTTTTCTATCCTCCACTCCTGCCCCCACCTTAGTTCCATAATCTTTCCCCTTGGAATTAAGGCTCTGCTCTGTACCAGAAGAGGTAAAACATTCCTCTGATCAGTCATTTACACTTTAGTAGGAAGGAGCCAGTTTCTTTCCTGAGAGCTTTGAAAGACAGGGAGAGAGCAACGGTTCTGTGCTGTCTGATGGGCAGGTGGGACCCTAACATGGGTAGCAGAGACAGACTCTGAGGCGCAGGCACAAAAGGGAAACTTTGCCTACTCGTAAAGACTCCAGACTTTGGAACCCCCATCCTGCGGCAGTTCTGAGCAGCTTGCAGAGTGAGGGTTGCTGTCCACATCCTATCACGGAGAACTGCTATGCCTCTCATGGGGAGGATGAGATTTTAAAGACTAGAAAGAGGTCCAAGTGTTTCTAGCCGTACACTTCCTCCGCCAAGGTTTCTTCCAGGACCCTGGGAGCTGAAAGTAAGCTAATGGAGACAGAAATACGACAATACTTTCTAAGACCCCTCCAGGAAAAATTCTCTCCCTCTCTTACATCTTCTTTGCACATATCACAGTCTCTCTTGATTCAGCTATTTTTGTGTCTCTCTCTCCCCAGTCACCTCTGAGTTCCCAACAGGCAGGGGGATGGATCATTTCTACCTTCCCCTGTCTGTTAGGACAGAGAGGTTGAAACATCCTTGAACTGGTAGAGCTGTGACCGCCCCAGCACCCCGGTGGCCTCCCTGTTCAGGGCTGGCCCCCACAAAGCACAGCCTTCTGGGTGGGGCAGGGATGGGCCTCCTCACACTTGGCGACCACAGCAGCTGCACCTTCTGCCATGGGGAGAAGCCTCCCCTGGGCTCTGGCGTTTGTGTGTGCTGCTTGAACGTGCAGGGGGCGTGGAGCTGGAGACACGGTGAGCCTGTTTCCAGGCTTGGCGCGTGCTTGCTCATCGGTGTCCCCAACGGCCAGGCTGCCTCGGTGCGTGGAAATCCATCACCTATCACTTTCTGTAGTTCTCTGTGAGAACGGCTTATCAATCCCAGATGGATCCAGTCAAGAACGTGGCACAAAAAGTTGACCACAATGTCCTGATAAATGAAACTTGCTGCCCTGAGGGTGATCACTTAGGGAAGCCAGTGATAGGGTAGAACAGCACACTGAAAAGGATGTCAAGAGCTCAGGCTTCTTGACTTGATCACTTGCAAATACAAATGTACCCTGTGTGCGTGGCTGCCTTGCTACCATGGCAAACCTGTGTGCATTTCTGTGTGAATCCCAGGGCTGTTGATGGCAACGCCATGCGCAGGCTGAGCACACAGGACATTTACAGGCAGCTGTTTGCCTGTATTCCTCAGCAGGCAGCGAGGGACTGGGTCTTGGGGCGTTTAGGGGAACGGGACAGCCTCGGCAGCTCAGGCCGACCACCACTGGGCTCTTGGGCAGCTGGGGGTGAGGGTGGGAAGCCTTGGATGGGGTCTCTGGAGAATGGTGGGGGTCTGCCTGGCACCGCATGGGCTGCTTCATGCTGAGGGGCCCCTTTGAGCGGGAGCTGTGTCAAGGCTGGGATGGTGAGAGGCATTCAGCCTACCTGCTCCTGTGCTGGGCTGCAGGTCACAGTACCCAGGGCAGGAGAGAAGGGAAGGCCGGGTGGCTCCCAGGAGCAGCTAAGTGAATTCAGATTTGCCTCATTCCTCTTCGTTCTGTGCACGGCTCAACCCTGTCTGATCACAGTACTCTCAGGCAGGCTCCGATTTTAAACACACTTCTCTGTCCCTTTCTTTTGTTTTTTACTTTCTCCATTGCTTTTGTTTTCCTACTGACTCAACATTTAAATAGAGATGGGTACATGAATTATGTTTCATCCTCCAATAAAAATAATCTCTGTGGTTTTCAGTCTTCTTATAGATACAAAGGCTTTACATAGTTGCCTGGAAAAGTACCAAACTGTCTTGTTCTTCTTGAAGTACCTATAAAAAAAAAAAACGCAGATGAGAAGATTCACCTGTGGGGAGCCTGAGAGCCGCCCCCCCGCCATAACCGTCCCAGGGCGCTGGCTGGCTGCCAAAGCACCTTCCCCAGTAGCCTTCTCTCACAGATGCAACCTAAGGCTGGGTGGTGAGCAAAGTGGGCATTCCCAATAGTTCTGCTTTTCAAACGAGGAAGCCTAGGCTCAAAGAGCTTTCCATGACCTCTGTGAGGTCCTGCAGCTTCATAAACCTCAGATGCAGGCTTTGCACCAAGTCTTTGGGCTCCCAACCTGTGGCTCCTTCCAGTTGTTCTTTCTGGAGGAGTTAACACACTCAATGCAAGCCCAATGAGATACCGGGGATACAGAATTTCTATTTCTAAACTATAGGATTTCTAAGAGCTCACTGGAAATGACTACACATCAAAAGGAAATCTGCCTTATAAGTCCGTTCCTAAGCCCCAGATCCACTCCCTGTCTTCTAGTTCAACCTTGCTGGGGTCCGGTTAGCCAGGAGCACCTCTGGGAAGAAAGCCCTCCCCGCTGCTCCATCCCCAGCTCTGCTGGGCCCCTCATTCTTCCTTCCCTGGGATTCTCTCTCTAGGGTGGGAGGGGACCTATTGTGCCTTCCTTATCCTTTCATTACAGGATTTCATAGGAAGGGGAAGATAAAGACCACCTACTTCCTACTGGGGAAGGTGCTTTACATTACATTTCAGAGGATACTGGGGAAGGTGCATTGCATTACATTTCATCCCATCATTTCATCCTTTCCCCTCGGATATGACTTCAGAAACCTGTGACCACCACATTTCAGGTTGTCTGCCAGGGCTTGGAGTTGTGGCCTGAAGGGAAACTTCTAAACTACAGGACAGTAAAGCTGCAGGTATCTACTGAGTAGCTGACCTCCGGGCCGGTATGGTCAGGGAGGCTGCAGGAGCCTGAGAAACCTGAGTTCTGCTAGGTTTCTTTATTCAGTCTCACACTAGGTGGCTTTCCGGAGTGTTTGGGGGAAGAGCAGGAATCCAAAAGATTACCTGCTGCCAAGGATTCCTCCATTCCATAATCAGTCCCCTGCAGCCTGGCCCTGAAGAGTGTGTGTGCCTGCACTCAGTGTCACGGTGCTCCACCGTGGCCACATCCCAGCTCTGCTGAACCCACAAAGCACAGGGGGGTTTCAAAAACTCAGTGTGAAATCAATGGAAAATGTCTATGCTGATTATATGTCCCCATGATATTATTTTAGATGCCTTGGGTTTAATGAAATAACATTATTAAAATTAATCTCACTGGTTTGGTTTCGCTTATTTCAACATGACTTACGTGGTTTCTGTAGTTTCTATTGGACTGTCCCTCTCTCTCGAGCGAGCACTGCTGCCTCTCAGATCTGGTTTCTTTCTGAACGGAACTAGAGGCGGCAGGCGTCTGGCACACTTGGAGGGGCGGGTAGCTTTCTAAGAGGCCAAGGAGGCATGGCAAATCTTTCTGGCTTCTATTTACCCTGAGGTCTTGCTGTTCCCACTTCTCTAGCCCTGACATTACTGTGCTTCAGCAAAGCTTTTTAGAGGGATCAGGAAAGAGGTTGTCTTTGGAAAGAAGATAAAGGAACAGCCTTCATGCAGGGGAAACTGAGGCAAAGGCTCAGTGGCGCCATAGCTCTGATACCTGAGCAGGAAGAACACAGGCTAGAGGAGAGATGGGCCTGAATTCAAGCACCAGCCCCCATTGAGGTGACCGTGGGCTGGTTCCGTAATCTCTTTGGGCCTGTTTTTGAATCTGTCACAGGAGGATAATTCTTGTCTTACTGAGAGACCTTCAACAAGAAAGTGTATCAAGTGTTCGCTTTATGACAGAACCTCAATAAGTGGTGGTCTTTATCTTCCCCTTCCTATAAAGGCAAATCTTTTGCTTTAATTGAGTATATTGTTTTGATTAAAATTATTAGAAGCCTGGAGGGAATAACTATTACCTTTGGAATGTCTATATAAATGGTTAAGTTTTATGACAGACACCTAGGCTCAAGTTTTCTTGTGTTTTTTCATAAGAAATTTTTAATTTTAAAATTATTTTTATTTAAAACATTTAAAAGTAATGTGGAAGCAATATGTCAATAGAACATCAGAATATCTAAATGCAGAATGATATATGTAGAATAGAATATCAACAACTCATTGAACTTGATGACTTCTCTTCTATGAGTAGAGCTGACATAATTTGGTTTTTAGGGTCCAACACCAGTGTCACTCATGCGCAAACATAAAGTGGGTGTCTCAACAGTCTGAAGGGTTACAGAGGGACTGAGAGACTCTCCTTTCTGTGCAGAGAATATTGCGCTTGGCATAGCCCATATCTCCTAGCTAATAAGCCTTCAGGACATGACTTGTAAGAAAAGCATGAAAAGGGCCTCCCCAGTGGTACAAAGGGCTAAGTCTCAGCACTGTGAAGCTATCACTGGCTTGCATGAGTTCAATCCCCACCCAGGAAGCTCACCCACATGGCACAGCAGACCTCTCCTGACCCACTCACTGCTCCCCTCAGCAGTGATTTCAGCCAACCTGCCTGTTCTGCTCCCCACTCTGTCTCTGGTGGATCCTCTCACCCCCCTGCATCTTTGGCCTACACCCCAGCTCTTGTATGCATACATAAATGAAAATAAATCTTAAAAAAAAAAAAAGCATGAGAAGTAAGAAGTAAGTTACATACCAACAAACCATCCATCATCACATTTTTCCATGACATCAACAATATCTCCATCTCGGAGTTCCAATTCATCATCATTCTGTGGTATATAGCTATATAAAGCTTGGTAGCTAAATCTATGAATGAGAAAAGTGAATATTAAATGCTTCAAACACTGATAGGATTTAATAACTTGGGGGTGGGGGGAAGTGTGTTTAAAACCCATTTCAGTTAAATCTACACTTAGACAATGTTTTCTATTCAACAGGAATACTTATTTTATTGAGGATTTCTCTAATTTAGCATTTGATGAGATCCATTCAATGGTGTATGATACGTGCACTATGATTGACAGAGATGGGGAATATCTGAAAAGAAAGTTATGACTAGTCCTTTTATTTGGTTTTATTTGTTTACCACAGCTAAGCTTTAAAATCTAGCTATCACTTCTCTCCCCCACCTTAAAGTTAATCAAGACTTATCTTAACATAGCATAATATAGATAGGTAATCAAAGATAATCAGAAGTTACTTGGATTCAGAAAGGGAAATTTTTATTCTGTGATGTATACTGGATAGCAAAATGCAACTGTCTTTACCTAAATAATATATATGTATATTGCATGTACAAGATCTATGAAAAGTACATTCCAATTGCCTCCCTGTTTAGCAAAGCATCCTTAGGTTCTTTACCTGCCCAAATATATTTCATTCGTTGCTTTTAATGTGGGTGTAATTTTTTCTAAAATTCCTGAAAGCACTCTGATTTTTTTTCTATCCCAGGATGTCTGGGATGAAGATTTTATTGATCTGATGGCTTTGAGCTTTGTTGTTCTGTCTGTTGTAACAAAAGCTGTGGGTCGAGAAAGCGGGTCGAGAAAGGCAAATTTGAGCTTTGTTGTTCTGTCTGTTGTAACAAAAGCTGTGGGTCGAGAAAGCGGGGCAACTTTATGGCGAATTCCAGTATTTGCTTTGGCAACAAGGAAAAGCTTTGCTTTCATTTACCCCTGTGGTAACTACTGAAGAAGCACCCACTACGCAGAGAGTTATCAATTCTGTTTCCTCACTATTGTAAAGCACAACAGTCGTAGGCAAAACTCTGCAAATGAGTCAGCCTTCTGCCATTTCCAGTTCATGTCAGTGAATTCCAATGTGTGGGCAAGAGACTTGAGGCAAGTGGAGTCAGTTCCCAGAAATAAAGAGGGTCACTTTCCTCTGCTAAAACCAAAGGGACAGTGACGTTTACATATTTATTCCAACGTACTGCCCTTTGATAGCTGGCTCTGTCTGCTAGAAACAGTCTCAGATGAGAAGTTCAGGGATGCAGACAGACTGCTAGTTGGCAGAGAAAGTATTTTTGGTGCTTTCATGGGGCCCCCCACGGTCTCCTCCCCAGCCTGGATGCCTCGGAAGCCCTTAACTTCCACAGAACCTCAGCTCTGGGAAGTAACTCCTGACCTGTGCCTCCCCGTTCTCACATAGCGAGTGGAGACTGGCCCGAGGGCACTGAACCTTGCTGCTTGAGTGCTCTGATTGGCTCTAATCTGGGGTGCTCGGGACACTGTTCCATGAGGCCTTCCTCCACCTCCTCTGCCAGCTCCGGTGTCTAACTCCCAGGAGGACCCTGGGCTCCACCCCACCTCCTGAGCTGAAACTCCTGTGGGCAGCACCTTAGTTTTCTTCCCCTCCTAGTTTAAAGGTCCACCCCCCCAAGCCCCCTCCCAACATGTGAGGAAGGGACCCCTTCTCCTGGCCTTGTTGAATTCCCTTCCCTGGGCTGTTCACCCCCAACTACTGCTACGTGTCCATGGTCTCAAGGCGCCCATTCTGCTCTAGCTCAGGGTCTCATCACTTCTTTGCTGGGTTAGTATCTCCTAATAGCCTTGTCCGAATCTCTAAATTCACCCTCTACTCCACTGCCAGAGTTATCATTATATTCCTCATTTTATAAACCTCCAGCGGCTCCCTACTATCAAGAGAGAAAAAAAACAAAACAAAACAAAACAACAAAACCCAAACTTGATTTCAATTGCATTCCAGATTCTACAATCTGGTCCCAACCCACTTGTTGCATTCTGTCTCTGTTGCCCCAGGAACTGTGTGCTGCAGCCACATGGGCTTCTCAAGTTCCCCAAACACCCTCTTATACCACATCTCTGTACACATGGTATTCTCAACTAGAAAGACCTGTGACGTCCCTGTTTTAGCTATCAAATTCAATGATTTTCAGTGCTGATTCTAAATATCCCTCTGTAAATGAAGTTTACGCCTATGTGCTTTAAACATGGGAGAAATCCAACAATTTTCTTTTAATAGATGGATCAACCCTGTTCGTTCCTCTCCAGTCAGAATTCCTCTGTATTCCCACAACACTTGGCCTGAGACAAATCAGCACAGCTCTCCTTCACCCCTGGATGAGTTAACTCTTTCCCTGTCCCTCCCAGTAGCCTGTGGCCTGCTTGTTTACCCCGCGCCCACATTCACATTAGCTGATGGGACGCTGGCCATGGCTAGGAGCCCTCAGAGAAGCCAGGAGAGATGCGTGCATTGCCCACCATCCCTGCCCCCAGTCAGTCAGTGACCCAGTGGCCGGCAGTCTACTAAGGAGAATGTAGTACTTACAGATCTTGTGAGGTTTGACTTCTGTCTGGGATGACTCTTCGCTGCTGGGCTTGAGGTTGCTGAGAAATGATTAAAGATGATTTATTGTCAGAAGGGGATACTTTGTGATGAAAGTCAAGGGGATGAGAAACAGTGCTGCAGTAATGAACAGATTTTTCGGCAATGTTTATGATTTCATTGCAAACTGCTTCCTGTGAGGTGGCCCCAAGATATCCAGAAACCCCCATAAAACAGTCAACATGGGGACAAAAAATAAAAAAAAGAAAAAGAAAAGAGAGGAAGAGATGTAACATTCCAGACGAAGCACAAAAGTCCAAGAAAACAAGAGAGTTGAAGGTCCAGGTTAAAAAAATAGATATTCCAGTAGTGGAGTGCAGGAGGGATCCAGGCGTAAGCATGGAAAAACAGGTGAGATACAGAAGAATTTGGGATTTAGTATGAATATTAAAAAAAAGAAAGGCAGCAGCATAAAAGCCTGTAATTAGTGAGTAACTGTTACAAATGGAATAACTTCAGGATAAAAATGCAAGTATGTACCCCCAAGCATGCACTACACATCAATTTAATCCCACCCATAGGCAGAGTAGAAATATTCTCTCTAAATTCCTCTGCTTTTTTTTGAGAGGGAAGGGATGGCCTGACATCTCTCTACTACCACAGCCATATGATGGCTGCCAATAATGGCTCTGTGAAGAAACCAGGCATTTCTCCCTTCTAGACTCTGTCAGTCAGTAAGGATTCTCTTTAGAAAGCTGCACTCATATTCAACAGATATCTTACCACATAGCTCTTTTCAGATTCTGTGAGATCAGGTCCTGCTCTCAATGAATGATGAGAAGGCTGTGATCACCAAGCAAATTATAAGGGAGACATTTTAGCAGATGTCACATTGGAAGGATTCAAAATAAAAGCGTGAGCAAATACACGTACCACACCATCATACTCGATGACACCGGATACTCATGGCCTGGGGCCACCGAGTTTCCATGACAACACGGTGGGTGCACAGGAGAAAATGCAATGTACAGAGTTAGAAGCAAGCATCCAGGCAATGAAATGAGACGTTGGGAACATGGCTGCAGTGAGTGGAGAACGAATACACGGGGTGGGGTCCCTGCATGGCCGGGTAGGCGGAGGGGCTGCCTGAAGGGGCAGTCACGTCCTCTAACCACACGTGTTGGTCCTGTCGCTCTCAGTCAGCAAGCAGCTGTGGAGGCTGCTGGACCAAAAGCCAGTTTGTTATTTTGTTGGCTGGGAGCCTCCTCTCGGCAAAGCAGGCACAACAATCTATTCACGAGGCCACGTCTTGGTACTTACGAAAACAGAAAGAATAATGCTTTGGGAAAGCGCTCTGGTGGTCCTTGAAGTATCAAACAAGACTATTCCCTGGAGTGATCTGGCCATGATACACTCCGGCAGGGAGGAGTTCAGGTATGTAGCAGGGCAGAGCTTACGGCAGAGCAGACCGCGTCCTGACACGGGCACAGGAACGCGACCTGGTTCACCAGCTCGGGAAGTGCAGCTGACCCGGGGCCCAGCAGACCTGCACTTCACCTGGGGCTCCCACAGCAGCTTCATGTGGGGCTCCCTTGGGAGAGCGCTGCTAATCAGTTCCCAGAGCGCACTCCTCTAATTCCAAGCTCTCCCGAGCCCCCTAAATAAGTACTCGAAGAATCAACCTTGGAGAAACGCTCCGGGTGACATGCGACAGTAGGGAGGAGCCACAACCCTGGCGCTTGCTAACAGGGCTCTGGGAGCGTGTGTGTGTGACCCCTCTGTTTCACAGAGGCCGGGGCGGGGCCGCTCCTGCAGTCACACAGGAGTCCCTGGAGTCCTCTACGGTCCTAGTGGCCCTTCTCTTCACCCCTGAACCCACCGTCAGTGTACCTGCTGACACAATCCTCAGTCCCACAGAAACCCTGGAGACAGGCAGGACAAGGCTCTGCATTCTAGTTCCTTTCCAAATCCAGGGTGACTGTTTGGGGGTGGGGTGTTTAGTGTGCTCCCCAGCTCGGCTGCTCTGCACACCACTCCTTCTCTGTCCATCTCCTCCGTCCATGTGCTCATGCTTCCACGTGCGCTGCCGGACCCACGGCCACCCCAGACTAAACTCTGCTTCCGTGCGTCCACTCATTTGTTTGTTCATTCATTCATTTGTTCCTTCGTTCCTTGTTTATTTATATCACCTCTACACTTTTATTCTTTGGGGAAATTTCAAGTTTTCTTGTCTCTTCTAAGTTGCAATCACTTAAAGCAGTGCCCTGGGGGCCTGGCAGGGGTGAAGAAGAGGCCACTGCTTGCTCCTTCCAAGGACCTGCAAGCCTGACCTCCTGTGGCCTGCTGACAGGCCATCCCTTCAGGGGGCAAGGATTCTGCCTAACACCGAGAAGCAATGCTATTTCCCAGCGCTGCTTTGAGGGCTTTCATGTAGATGCAGAATGAAACTCATTCTGGGCATCCTCAGCAGGTGACACAAGAGGCTCTGATTTGATAAAAGGGAAAGTTCTGTAAAAGTGACAAGTGTCCAACCATACCAGGGTGTCTGGATAGGAAATGCTTGCCTGTCAAGCTGAGGCTGAGTTGACTTTCTAGGGAGGATGTTGGAGAGCAGTTTCCCAAAGTTACTGTCTGTAGGTCACCTAGGAAACTGAAAATGCAGACTCAGCTTGACATGTCTGAGCTACAACCTTGGGCTGCATTTCTACTGGTGAAGTACAAGCTGCTGGCCCACAGATCAACTCTGGGGAGAGCTGGAGTCTTCTACAGAAGACCTTAGTTGTGCAACACAGATTCTTGGGCTACAGCGTACCATGACTGATGTCAGTCACACCTCATGAATATAAAAGTTCTCATAAAAAAACAAAGAATTTCCAGACTCTGGCTGGTGGTCTCATGACCTCAGGTCATGCAGCAGAAAGATGATGTGACAATCCCCTGACACGGGCCCCAGGGCTCACGAAGGCTCTACGTGTCTACAGTCAGCCTCCCCAGTGCACTGGCACCAAGTACTTAGCAAACACTAAGCGCCGTAATGAGGCTTAGAGAATCAACATAGTAAGGAGGACCTGACCTTTTACTATTTCTTTGGGTAAGGTTTTTTAAAAGCAGGTTTCAAAGCATACGTAGGTGCTAAGATGTCATCTAAGTGTTGCAATAATCCTTTGATTTGGGGAGGGCAGATAAGGGAATATTAAGATTCGGGGAAGTCTGAAGGCAGCAAAGCCTCTGAGCACTGAGCTGCTCAGGTCTGGGCGTAACGTTTCACCTGGCTCCTGAGTCGTGACCAGAGAGCGGCTTGACCATGACAGCCGGCACCAGCTTCCACGCTTCTGGAAACAGGCACTGGACCGTCTCTTCCTCAATACTCTTTCTTTATGCAAGAGGTAGCGGTGTGCAGTAATGGATACCTTCCATTCATTAACTCTGGGATTCCCAGTCCTGGAAGGGACCCTAAGAGCAGCCGATACCTTCCTTGGTCTTGGGTCAAATGGGAGGATAACCATCCTCACAGCCTTCACATCTGGACAAACTCAACTCATCCCTGAGAGGTAGGAATGTTTTGGTTTCTTAATGTTTGTGGAATAAATAAAGGAAGAAGGCAAGATAAACATTTATCCTATTAGCAAAGATCCAATTTCTCCCCATTTGAAATGCATTCCTTAGATTGAAGTCAAACGTCTCAATGTAGCTAAAATGTAAACTTGGGGCATAGGGTGGGTGGAATAGGGTGAACCCTCAAGTGGAGGTGGAAACTATTAGCATCTGTTATGGGGATCTGCCCCTCATATTGTGGGTTCTTAATGCTTAGATTTTCCCCCTTCAGGCATGTTTTTCTTTCCCTGGCCTCATTTTCTAACCAGGCACACATCCTTCTCTCTTTTCCTCCGAGCAGATGCTTTCCAGCATGGGCTCCAGTAGCCACTGAACGTACTGAACATGGATAAAGCAAATGGAATGTGCTGGAAATGTAACACATCTGATCTCAAATCCTTAGTGTGCAGCTCTCCTCCTGCCTGTGACAATACAGGTGCTTCTCTTTTTCTTTTTCCTTTTCCTAATAAACCTGTCCTTTTAAATGTAAAAAACAAAACCCAAAGACCCCAAATCCTCAGTATGAAATACAGAGTATATAAGGCCTCATGAATCACTTTATCACTTTTACATTGATTATATATTTAAATGTACTGTTTTAGATTTACTGGATTAGCTATATTATCATTAATTTTATTTGTTCATTTCCCTATAGAACATTTTACATGACATATGTGGCTCTCACTACATTTCTGTGAGGCGTACACCCCTGAATCTTCTCCAGATCTTGAGTGTCTGTCTTTATTTAAACCTAAAAATAGACCTAAGTTTTAACTAGGATCTCATCCAGGATTGGGAATAAATGGAGTATTATCTCATGCCGCGTACACTTCAGACTCCTGAAGGTACATTCCAGTTTTTCACATGTTTAGATAAACACAAATCAACCCTACACACACCCACACACGCACAGACTCACAACCCCGCCACCCCTGGTATTAGTAAGCAGGTGACAGTCCCTGACCCAGAGCCCCTTTCTGCCACATATGCAGACAACGCACATCAGCTGCCCCTCCTGGCCTGCAGCCCTTGGCCTGCTGTCTGCAGTGAGCAACGCGTGTCCTTGCTCTGGCTCCGCTGCCCTTCCATCTTCAGTTCACAGAAGTCCCTCAGAAATCTGATCCTCTCTTCCCTGGGGCTGCTAATCTCTCTGGCTCCACAAAACACCTGGTGCTGCTGCTGGGCTACTAAGCCTCCTCTTGCCATTTTGAGCTTGAGCCAGAGCCTTGAAACCCAAAATAAGTTGTCCCCAGGCTAAAAAGCAGCAGGAAGGCCTGATGATGTGAACAGGATGCAGAGCACAACCTCAACCTGGGCACCTTGGACCCTTGCACAAACATGAAGTCTGTCCCCTGACCCCCTGTCACGTCACACCCTGTGTTCTCAGACCCCAGTTTACCTTCCCGGGGACCCAGAACTTGGGTGTGGGTAGAAGAACATCCATGTTGCAGGCCAGAACTATTTGTCT